CACAATGGGCGGCCGGCGCGCGCGGCCAATCAGCGGCGCGCGGCGGCGCGGCCCCGCCCGGGCGGGTTTCGCGCGAAAGTGCTGCGGCTGCCGGCGCGCTGGGCCTGCCGGGAGCTGTAGTCCCTTTTTGGTCGCGTCCCAGCACGCCCGGAAGCGCGCTCCGCTTTCTGTAGGAGCGGTGCGGTGCGCCTGCTGCTTCCCTTCGCGGAGCGCAACGCCACGCCACGCAACGCCACGCCTTTTACGGGATGCTTTTCTCCTCTCCGTTTTATTCTCACGGTGCCTCTGTGAAGTGGGTCAGCTGCGAGGCTGTGCGTGACCCGAAGTCGCCCGGTGAGCCTTTCGTCCCATCCTTTCTCCATTTCTTGCTCTTATAACAGCGCTCCCACCCCTCTCCTCCGGTCGGCGTCCGCTGAAGGTGGATTGCACGGTGCCCTCCTCTTCTGGTCGTGTTCGTGTTTGCAACAGCCCTGTGAGGTAGGCTAGGCTGGGAGTCAGGGACAAGCCCCAAGTTACCCGGTGGGCTTAATGGTCGAGCAGAAGCTAGAGCCCAACTCCCAGGTTCAGTGGCTGCCAGGGAATCTTGCAGAGAGGAGGCCACAGCCTCAGTCATCCTACTGACCGAGCATATATTATTGTTAGTTTTATATTGTTATTTTTGTATTATATTATGTTGTGAGCCGCCCCGAGGCTTCGGCGAATGGGGCGGCATAGAAATGTTTTAATAAATAAATAATAAATAAATAAGACCCCATGGAACACAAGGGCGTTCTCCCAAATGACCAGGCAGTGAAGGTACCTTCCCCCAAAAAGAACGAGTGGTACAGCTAGGAAGTTTTCGGAGTCCTTGGACTGTGCAATCTTACCTGGTACCCCTTCATTGTTCTTGTTATTACTAGTTGCAAAGTCGTGTCCGACCCATTGCGACCTCATGGACAACACTCCTCCGGGCCTTCCTGTCCTCCACCCCCACCCCCGGAGTCCTCCTAAGCTTGACTTTTGTACCACGTTCTACGTGGGGCTGCCCTTGAAGACGGTCCGGATACTTCAATTGGTTCAAAATAGAGCTGCCAGGTTGCTGACGGGGACGGGGCGTTATGTTCACGTGACTCCAGTTCTCCATCAGCTTCACTGGCTTCCCATTGAAGTCCGGGCCCAATTCAAGGTGTTGGTGATGACCTATAAAGCATTAAACAGCTTGGGTCCTGGTTACCTGAAGGAGCGCTTACGTCCATATATGCCCGGCCGCCCCCTGAGATCAGCGGGAGAGGCCCTTCTCCGGGAGCCCCCCGTGAGAGAAATTAGGAGGATAGGTACCCGGAGGAGGGCTTTCTCTGCGGTGGCGCCCAATCTATGGAATGCGCTCCCCAGAGAGGTCCACCTGGCGCCGTCGTTATTTGTTTTTCGGCACCAGGCGAAGACCTATTATTTATTTATTTATTTATTTTTGGCCAGGTCGACTCAAATTATATTGTTTTTATATGGTATTTATTTATTTATTATTGTGAGCCTCCCTGAGGCTTTGGCAAATGGGGTGGCATAGAAGCCGCCTAAATAAATAAATAAATAAGCGCACGCCGACTGCTTCAGTGACCCCATCCAGCCACCTCATCCTCCGCCGTCCCCTCCTTCTTTTGCCGTCAATTGTTCCCAGCATCAGGCTCTTCTCCAGGGAGTCCTTTCTTCTCATTAGGTGGTCAAAGTATTTGAGCTTCATCTTCAGGATCTGGCCTTGTAAAGAGCAGTCAGGGTCGATCTCCTCTAGGACTGACCAGTTTGGTCGCCTTGCGGTCCAAGGGACTTGCAGGAGTCTCCTCCAGCACCACAGTTCAGAGGCCTCAATCCTTTTGCGCTCAGCCTTCCTTATGGTCCAGCTTTCACAGCCATATATTGCAACTGGGAAAACCATAGCCTTGACTATACGCACTTTTGTTGGCAGGGTGATGCCTCTGCTTTTTAGTATGCTGTCTAGATTTGCCATAGCTTTCCTCCCCAGGAGCAAGCGCCTTTTCAAATATCTTGGCTGCAGTCCCCATCTGTGGTGATCTTAGAGCCCAGGAAAATAAAATCTGTCACTATCTCCATTTCTTCCCCATCTCTTTGCCAGGAAGTGACTGGACCGGATGCCATGATCTTAGTTTTCTTAATGTTGAGTTTCAAGCCAACTTTTGCACTCTCCTCCTTCACCCGCATCAAGAGACTCTTTAGTTCCTCTTCACTTTCTGCCATTAGAGTGGTATCATCTGCATATCTGAGGTTGTTGATCTTTCTCTGGCAATCTTAATTCCAGCTTGTGATTCATCTAGCCCCGCCTTTCTCATCATGTGCTCTGCATATAAATTAAATAGGCAGGGCAGCAGTATACAGCCTTGCCGAACTCCTTTCTCAATTTTGAACCAATCAGTGGTTCCGTGTCCAGTTCTCACTGTTGCTTCTTGACCCACATATAGGTTTCTCAAGAGACAAATAAGATGGACTGGTGGTCCCACCTCTTTAAGAATTTGCCACAATTTGTTGTGATCCACACAATCAAAGGCTTTAGCATAGTCAATGAAGCAGAAGTAGATGTTTTTCTGGAACTCCCTCGCTTTCTCCATGATACAGTGTATGTTGGCAACTTGATCTCTAGTTCCTCTGCCTCTTCGGAATCCTGCCTGTACTTCTGGTAGTTCTCGGTCCACATACTGCTGGAGCCTAGCTTGTAGGATTTTGAGCGTAACTTTGCTAGCATGCGAAATGAGTGCAATGGTGCAGTAGTTTGAACATTCTTTGGCATTGCCCTTCTTTGGGATCAGAATGTAAACTGACCTTTTCCAATCCTGTGGCCACTCTTGAGTTTTCCAAATTTGCTGGCATATTGAGTGTAGCACTTTAACTGCATCATCTTTTAGGATTTTGAATAGCTCAGCTGGAATACTGTTGCCTCCACTAACTTTGTTGTTGCTCAGACTTCCCAAGGCCCATTTGACTTCACATTCCAGGATGTCTGGCTCAAGGTCAGTGACCACCCCATCGTGGTTATCAGGGACGTTAAGCTCTTTCTTGTATAGTTCCTCTGTGTAATTTTGCCACCTCTTCTTAATCTCTTCTGCCTCTTAATCTCTTCTGCCTCTCTTTTGCCATTTTGGTTCTTTATCATGCCCATCTTTGCATGAAACGTTCCCTTCGTATCTCCAATTTTCTTGAAGAGATCTCTGGTCCTCCCTATTCTATTGTTTTCTTCTATTTCTTTGCACTGTTCATTTAAGAAGGCATTCTTATCTCTTCTAGCTGTTCTCTGGATTTCTGCATTCAGTTGTGTGTATCTTTCTCTTTCTCCCTTGCCTTTCGCTTCCCTTTTTTTCTCAGCTATTTGTAAAGCTGCTTCAGACAGTCATTTTGCTTTCTTGCATTTCTTTTTCTTTGGGATGGCTTTAGTTGCTACCTCTTGTACAGTGTTGTAAACCTCTGTCCATAGTTCTTCAGGCACTCTATCAGATCTAATTCCTGAAATCTATTTGTCACCTCTACTGCATATTCATCAGGGATATGATTTAGGTCATACCTGAGTGGCCTAGTGCTTTTCCCTACTTTCTTCAATTTAAGCCTAAATTTTGCAACCAGAAGCTCATGATCTGAGCCACAGTCAGCTCCTGGTCTAGTTTTTACTGACTGTACAGAGCTTCTCCATCTTTGGCTGCAGAGCACATAGTCAATCTGATGTCTGTGTCGACCGTCTGGTGATGTCCATGTGTAGAGTCGTCTCTTGGGTTGTTGGAAAAGAGTGTTTGCTATGACCATCGTATTCTCTTGACAAAATTCTACCAGCCTGTGTCCTGCTTCCTTTTGTACTCCAAGGCCAAACTTGCCTGTTATTCCAGTTACCCCCTTTTGGCTTCCTACTTTAGCATTCCAATCCCCCATGATGATAAGGACATCATTTTTTGGTGTTAATTCTAGAAGGTGCTGTAGGCCTTCATAGAACCAGTCAACTTCAGCCTCTTCAGCACCAGTGGTTGGGGCAGAGACTTGGACTACTGTGATGTTGAATGGTTTGCCTTGGATTCGAACTGAGATCATTCTGTCATTTTGGAGATTGTATCCCAGTACTGCTTTTCCTACTCTTTTATTGACTATGAAGGCTACTCCATTTCTTCTTGAGGGATTCTTGCCTGCAGTAGTATACCTGATGGTCTTCTGAATTAAATTCACCCATTCCTGTCCATTTTAGTTCACTGATTCCTAAGATGTTGATGTTCAGTCTTGTCATCTCTTGTTAGACCACATCCAGCTTGCCTTGATTCATGGATCTTACATTCCAGGTTCCTGTGGAGTATAGGTCTTTGCAGCATCGGACTCTCCTTTCACCACCAGATACATCCGCAACTGAGTGTCCTTTCGGCTTTGACCCAGTCGCTTCACTCTTTCTGGTGCTACTAGTACTAGCCCTCTGCTCTTCCCCAGTAGCATATTGGACACCTTCTGACCTGAGGGGCTCATCTTCCGGCGTCATACCTTTTTGCCTTTTGGCACTGTCCATGGGGTTTTCACGGCAAGGGGACTGGAGTGGGCTGCCATTTCCTTCTCCAGTGGATCACGTTTTGTCAGAGCTCTCTGCTCCGACCTGTCCGTCTTGGGTGGCCCGGCACTGCACAGCTCATAGCTTCATTGAGCTACGCAAGCCCCTTCGCCACAACAAGGCAGCGATCCACGAAGGGGACCCATTTACATACCCCCAGATATGTGATTTCAATTAAGAAGCACACCAAGTAATGTCTCCTCCTCACCACCCAACCCCTGCCAGTGCTTTGGATTTGCCCCACGTTCCTGTTACATCAGAATGACAGAGACCAAGCTGACTCTAATTCTGTCGTCCACAAAAGTGGGATTCGACTCTAGTGTGCGCAGTGGCCAG